CTCGAAGGACCATCCCGAGTCCATACTATGCTAGAACTGATCATCCATTGAAATCCGATCGAATCCGATTGAATATTTCTCGATCTCCCACAATTGGTTGAGGGCTTTATGATACACTCGATTTTCTCTTTCCGTTTTTATCAAAATCGAGCGAATATGTAAAACTCGGGATAAAATTTTAAATTGAAATTAAACCCGGTGATTTAAAACGAAATTGAAAGGGACAATTATTGAAAAAAATGATGAGAGAGTAGTGGAGAATCATTTTTGCAATCAATTAGAGGAGAGAACGCATAGGAAGGCACGCATGGGAAGGCAAATCGACGTGGCGGCAATGCTAGGAGAGAAGGCACAATATGAGAGAAGGCAACAACGTGCAAACCAAAAGAGAAGACGCATGATTTGTTTCTCGAAGTTCAAATTCACGGATCTTACGTCACCGTTGAGGTGCCATAAAGGCCGGGTCTATTTCAACCATTTCCCCACAAGGTTCCACAAATGCACTCGATTTCACTCTTGATTTTTCTTCCCTTGCGAAGTCGAAATCAAAGTCTTCACAAACTTTTCGATGCACACCACAACTTTAGGTGTCCATCGGCGATACCTAGCCATCTAGGAGACCTTAGTCCTCAAGAGTAACAAACACAATCGAAAAATTGCTTGCTATGAACTCAAGTGCTAAAAGAATGGAGTGAAGCTCACTAGCTCTCAACTTCTCAATCTCTCAATCATACTCTCTCCCCTTCTCAAATCTCTCTCACAAAGAGACACCACAAAGTTAGGGGAATGGGGAAAGCTATTTGGCTTTGGATGTGTTTACTTTTGCCCAAGAACAACAACCACTCAAAGGAAGGGGTGGAGGAGTTCATATACTCAAGCCTCTCAAAACTAGCAATTGGAGGTCAAGATTCCATTTTTCAGAATTTTCGAAACATTTTTGGAAATATCCGAAAAACACCTTAGAGCAATTTCACTGTTCGCAGTCATTTTCAGAGTTTCGATTTTTTTTCAAAAAACTCCGAAAACAACATAGAGCAAAACTAGGATTACTGCTATTTTTGGAATTTCCTAAATTTTTGATAATTTCCAATAAACACCAGAGCAAAACGGCCATAGCATTTTGCTTGGGAGTCTGCTATTGGTGATCTTGGACTCTATAGAAAGCTCACTCAGAGAACTCCTCAACTCAACCAAAATTAAGGTCTAAATTCTAAAACCACTCAATGGATAGCTTAACGCTTGGGTTTCTCTCAAGGTAGCACTAAGATAGGTCACTTTGTGCACCGAGACATAAACAAAAACATCAAAGTTGCATTGCTAAGTCAATAGTACGGTATTGCTATACAGAAATATAAATAGGAAAAGAATTATACCAATAGAAATGTCTTCATGCTATCTTCCTTTGTTTTAAGGGATGCCAACGCCGAAACCATTTCACTGTATATTCTTCAAATAATTGATGCGGGCTCCTTTGTGCCTTCAAATGGCCTCACGGTTCATCACGACATAGTCGTCACTCGCCCTTCACCACCAAATTTGGTCCTCCAGCGCCAAGCATTACTTGTGTTTCACCGTCTTACCATAGTACTTACTTTGTACTCCACATCTTCGATATCTTTACTTTGTCATTCTTTATATCTTTAGGTGTCATGATCTCTCTTGAGCGTCAACACCCTTTTTTAAAAAAAATTCTTGGGACCTATTTCACTCATTCAACTCAATGAAATTATTAGTCACAATGATTTGGTTGTCAACCTCCACTTGTTGACCAACTGATGGTATGGATAAAATGATATGAATAAATGATGGGTATTAATCAATACCACAAGTTATATACTCAAATGTGAAGATTACAATTAAATGAAAGTGAATAACTAGGATCAAATATATGCATAACTAAGGTATATGATTTGCTCCCCCTAAATATATGCATACAAAATAATTTTGAGAACCAAGAGCATGCATAAAAAGATATGAAATATTGGGAGTTTATCCTATACAAAAATAAAATACATTTATCAAATATAGGTTCTAAAATAAATGCATACCTTCATCATCTCTATGTTCTCAATATAAAGAAAGTAAACAAGTGATAAGGCTCAAACAAAACATTGTCTCACATACATATGTCAATCACATGGAAATATTATATATGAGCATATAAATATGTGCATGGAGAGAAGGAATGATACATTATCTACATGCACTTCATTGTTGTTGTGATTTAGGTCCACCGTCAACGAACGTCTCTATCTCAACTCATATCAAGTCCGGGAACCACCTCTCACAATTTGCACTTTTATATCCCACATGAGACACTAGACAAAGAAATGCATATGAAAATATTAGTGTCATATAATTGGATTTATCATTAGTTGCCAAAACCAAATTAATGACACTTAAACTTTCAGTATTATAAGTAACTACATTGCTAGAGGGAAAAAATACAAGTAATTCTTCATGATACTAAAAGCAACTACACTGCTAGAGGGAAGTTGTCGGTGATATGGGCCTAGGGGTACCCCAAACAGAGGGAGAAGGCCGCCACAAACCCACGTATCGCCTCCCAAGGGGGGTCGGGCCCAGGGGTGGAGCGGTGGCTTCCTCCCGAGCCAGAGGTCGGGTCGACCCAACCCCCTCCTCGCTCTGATTTGCGTGCGCGCCCTGGGCAGGCGTTCCTAGCGCCCAACTACCATGTTTAATAAGGTCTCGTCTGCCGCGGCACGCCGCATTTAATGCGGCGAGCATGCACACTGACAGGCCACTTGCAGCAAGAATGACGGATGTGACAGCGGACAAGGCGTTGTGCGCATGCGCCTACTGCTAGCAGGGGGCATGGCCTACATCTGCCCCGTCCCGTCGCCATTAATGAGGGTTTCTTTTGCCTCTCACTTGGACTCGGACCAGCATTTTCTCCACGCAGGTCCGTTTGAGAGATCCCTACTCCAAGGTGGGGCTGGACGGCCGGAAGTTGTCGACAGTTAAGGAGAAATGACATGGACGTCCGCCCGTACCGCTCGGCATGATGGGATGGGGCCCATGTCACGGTAAGGCGCGCATGGCTTCACATGTCAGGAGGACAAGACACACATTAATTACCTGTAAAGGATGTTTTCCTTTCCCTCGAAGCTAGGTCTTGGGCCTTTGTGGTAACCCCTTAAGATATAAAAGGAGGTCCATGCCTGGGGGGAAAGGAGGATCCGAGAGCCGAAAGCGCTTGTACTTTCCCACCAGAACCAACCACACATAGGAGTAGGGTATTTCGCTTACACAACGGTGGGAACCTGTATAAACTGACTGCGTCCCCATCACTCCCGAGGGGCCTGACCCCCTCTGCATCACCTTCCCTTCATCTGTCAAACCTTCACCCGCATCCCTGGTCTGAACCGAAAAGGGGCCACCACAGCCCCCGCTCGAGGAGTTTACCCTTCGACAGAAGTAAAAAAGAAAGAAAGAAAGAAATTTACATCGATTCGACAGTAGAGAAAAATAACACTTCGCAATAAAGTAACCCTTCACATTATTAGAAGTAAATACTAGTAGAGAAAAATAACACTTCGCATTATTATAAGTAACTACATTGTTTGAGGAGTTATAAACAATGATAAAATTTACATCGATTTGACAGTTTTGTGGTGCAGTTTGTTTTGTTTTGTTCCTCTGTATTTTGCATGATTTGGCACAGGTTCAAAGGACGTTGGATAATTTGCATTATTCTAAATATAAATTACTTATAAGTACTTCTAGATTTGAATAAATTACTTCTTATATATTTATGAAAATAAATTCAGTAAAGTCTAAAAGTAATCCACAAAAAATATAAAAGTAACTTAACACAAAATAAAAGTAAGTTATCAGGACATTTAAATTAAAAGTAAATTAGTTGTGGCGGTAAAAACATGAGTCTATATAGAAATTAAATTGAATCAACATAAATTATAAATTATAGAACTAACTAAAAACAACAGTAAAAGTGTCATATTCACAACATTATAAATGTCTAAGAAGTAATTTAATCCAATGTAAAAGTAATTAACATATTTGATAAAGTTAACTAAACATATAATAAAAGTAATTTACAACACATATATTTCTTTCATCAAAATATAATCATATGATATCTTCTTATAAAGATTAAATTGCAACGAACATAATGTTATAGTCGGGCTCTGTATCAGATAAGTAATTTAAGAGAATTTATTTAAAGTTTAGGTAGTAGGTGGGCTCTGTGGCCAAGGCAACACATGATATTGATAGGTTGGAAAACTTCAAAAGCATTGTGTGTGTGTGCGCGGTATTATTTTTGGATAGTGAGAGGTGTGGAGGTACTATTTTTAGTAACAGCAAAGGGTTGCTGCTTAGAACAATCCTGTGCACAGGCCTGATGTAGTCACCTCCTTGACAAACATACCCCAAGGGAAGATGAATTTTATCCCTACTAGCAAAAATGCTCGTGCGTTGCAACGGGTGAAAAAATTTCAATGCCAATATACGCTTCACATGCATAACCATGTCAATGATAATGTTTGTATCGATTGTTACAGCTAAAACATGTCATAAGGAAATTGGAACATCTTCAATGTAACGGTTCAACCTCGGCGACGACAATATTACCTATGCCTCCTTTACCCAAAAAAAGAATTGGATTATTTATGTGGTTGTACACATGTACTCTTTCAGTTTCATTCTTTGCAACTAATAGTAGGATTAATCAAATTCTACACTGTCTCGCATGATCTCTTAATATATATATTATTTTTACGGAATTGCTATATCTCTGTCAACAGATTATTGACTGCTCAATCTGTCATTTTTTGGTCCATTCGTTTTGTTCTGTGATTCGTGCATAGTCTGGGTTTGCTCTGTGTGCTGGATTGGGTTATCTGGATTGGATTGGGCTTAGTGGGTCCCACCTTTACTGTTCAATTTTGAAATCCGCGCCTACTTTCTGGTTCCTTCCGACACGGGGAGAGAGTGAGGCGAAATTTCTTTCTTTTTCCTCTTTTCTCTCGTCGTCTCCGTCGAGGTGATTAGCCTGGCGAATCTTCTCGTTGCTGGCTTCTCGCCGGCGTCTCGCCGGTTTGTCTCTTGTGGTTTGCTTGTTCCTCTTTTCATGAGCGTTTGTGCTTGCATCCTGCTATGTTTTGCTCTTTTCCCCTACTTTTTTTTTGTGGATTTGCTCTCTTCTTCACTGTTCGCCGCTGAGTTTTCATCAATGTTTGCGTATCACCGCCGTGCCGTGCTTGTGTGCCGCAGTGCCAAGTAAGGTGGTGATTGCATCGATTTGTTCAACTAATTCGTGTTTTTTAATTTTTTTATTATAGGGTTTTCTCTGTGTTTTGCAGCGATCTGGATCTCCTTCTACGAGTTAAATATGATGAGTCCCCTTATTTTGTTGATTTATATGGATCCATTTTTTTGCTCTTTTCCCTAACTTTTTATGTGGATTTGTTCTCTTCTTCGTTGTTCGCTGTCGAGATTTCATCAACGGTTGCGTATCACCGCTGTTGTGATTTTGAGTTTTAATCTCTATTTTTGCGAGGAGACGGCGGATCTGTTCGTCGACATTTTTCTTCAGCGATTTGCTTCTTCCCTGATTCGGCCGTGTGTGTGGTTGAAGCCTTTGAGTTTTTGTTGCTTTTGCCCCTATTTTCATTGTTTTCTATTGTGATTTTGAGTTTTAATCTCAATTTTGTTTGGGTTGTAGGTTATTTCTTTGGCTGAAGCGTCGATTTGGAGCTGGCATCTCAGGTGAGTTATTTGAGTGTTTGTTTTTTTTCTTATTTGTATGTGAATCGGTGGATCTCCTGTTTGGTGAATCCTGTAGTTTATGGGTACAATTGCTATGGATTTGTAAAATGTGTTTGAAATGAATCGATCTGATGCAAACTTGTAAGGTGGCTCATCGTCTGGCAAGAGAAGCTAGGCCAACTGTTGTATACTTGTCTGATTTGAAGCGTGCTGTTGAGACTGCAGAAATCATAGAGAAAGCCTGTGATGTATCAAATGTGAGTTCTAGCCTACTTTGTCCTGCCTGTTCCTTCATGAGTAACATCAATAATTTGTTTCAGATAGTGTTGACTGAAGCACCAAGAGAAAGGCACATGGGATATCTGCAAGGTTTGACATGGGATGACACTATGTGAATAAAAGCCCAGGCGTTTTCAAAGGCTTTGCTAATTTTGAAGTTAAAAATGGTTTGGACTTTGATGGCAGAAACCAAGAATTGCCGGTAAGTTCCAAACCGTATTTTTTCTTTGGAACAATTATAACCCAGAAATGTAACTTTGTCTAGGTCTGTTAAATAAAAAATGGAATAAGTGTATAACATTTTGTAGCTGTAGTACTATATAACTTTGAAAAGTTTATCACTGTTTCAAATGATGTTTAGGGTGGTGGAGAAAGTCTTAATCAGTTAAGTAAGCGCTGCATCTCCTACCTGAACAAAGTTGCTCAGAATCATATCAGCAACTATCATAAAAAAAGTTGAACTTTTACTCCATTTCATTTGTGTATGCCATTTTGCATCTAATCCTGACTAGCTGCTATCCTACCAATTAAGAACTCTGAACCTTGAAGATGTTTTGTTGATGCGGGTGATTGTTGTCGGCTATGGTGCAGCCATATTGGAACTAAAATATTTTTACACTGACAGGGGAGCTTTGTTATATCTGCAGGTTTGATTTTGGTGACCAAAATATTTGATTTTGTATCATTTACATGAAATTGAATGTAAAATTACAGGTTTTTATAACTGTAAATTTGATATAAAAATACTGTAATTTTATAAAGATGGTTCATACATGTACTTTGTCTATGTTTCTTGACTATCTTGAAAATTCCCATCTTTAACACCTTCAGATGGAATATTGCATAAATCACTTTTGATATATACATACACACACACAGATATATATATATATATATATGTATGTATATACACGGTAGCGCTACATGGCGCGTCGCACGCGCCATCAATTTCCTAGCGCTCCTCTGATCCGCTCTCGTTCCTTGTTTTCCGTTTTTCTTGCCAGCTCATCATATCCGCCTCCACATCCCTTCCGTTTTTTCCGTTTTTCTCCCTATCCCGCCTACGCACCCCGTGTTCTCACTCCCATCCGAGTAAAAAAGGCGATACTACTCATCTATCCTCTATCTGTCCCCCTTGTTACCGAGTTAAAAAATTATTTATACCATACAAATATCTAGAGTGGTGATTTCTATCCCGAACTCAACTATGAGATTGTATAATTTTTTCAGTTAATAATTATCTATGATATTGTAAGATTTTTTCAGTTAAAATCTTACTCTTTTAACTTTTTACTGTATCTGTAAGTTTCAGATTCAGATTTAGTTTATTTTGTATGTTCCTCATTCAGAGGGAGTTTGGTTTAGTCAGCTATGAAAATAATGTATCTTGATTGGTGTGCCAAATTCTGAAACTTAATCCTGTCAATTTGAAAATTCCAAGTATATTATCTGATGATTTGATTTAGTTAGTAATCTTACGTTGCAAAGATTGAAACTAAAACAATTTAGTATGCAAGATTCATAGTATACTAATTTTTGATAAGTTATCTTGCATATTAGCCTGAAACAACACTGAAACAAAAAATCGAGCAAGACGCTTTCATTGTTGATTTCTGCACTGGTATTTTCATATGTTAATTTTCTGTCTGCCAATTTGACCGAATGTTTCATTTTGTTTCCATTTGATAGCAGAGTCGAAGTACTTTGTACATTAACATCCAAATCAAAAAACCAAAAGAAGATTCTAAAAGTTTGAGGTGTGGTCTGAATTCTGAATTTTAGATGCAATTTGAAGATCAAGAAACAAATGAACATGTCACTGGATTCAGATTCAGAAGAAGATTCAAAACAAGGTTCATAAAGTGGTAAATGTACCTTCAGATTTATTAAGTGCTTGAATTTTGACTTCAACTCTTTCCCCCTGTGCATTGTTCGTGATCCGCTTTTGCTCCTGAATTTGATCTTTGACTTTTCTTGTACCTGCAACTTTACTTGCAAAGTATATGAAATCTGATATGCTTCATCTGAAATCTGATTTCCATGAACGTTGTGCAGTTGGTACATAAGTAATATAAATTCTCTGATATATAGATATACTTTGTGTAGTTTCTAGATACATGCCTAAATCTGATATACTCTGATTTTTTTTGACATATTTGCTGTTGACTTTGGATGTAATATAAATTCTCTAAAATCCAAATTTTGATATAAGTTTGGTTATGAATATAGTACATATGCAGTACATATTTGCATGAGTTCTAATATGACCAGAAAATATGCAATGCAAAAGTCATATGTCATTATGTTGTTCAACCTAATAATACACATAACATTTTTGTAAAGTCTTAAATCTACAAGATATCAATTACATATTTTTAGTATTGAAATTACAGTTTTTGTTTTATGTAATTCTTATACAAAATGACTGTAATTTAAGAATTAAATTTAGAATGCTGGTGAATATTCTCAATTTTTGAAGCATTGCGTTTGATTTGAAATGTTTATGGCAACTTTCTGTAATTTTGAGTTAAGTTTTACATTATAAGGTTTGGTTATTTGAATATTTTGCAGTCATTTTTTTTTTGTTTTGAATCTCTGTTTATGTATGAGTTCTACATAGTTTATAGATTATGTGTTTATATTTCCCCTAATAGAGATTTAAAGATTTTTTAGTTCTGCATGAGTTTTGATATCCGATTTTGCATATAATATTCTTGTTCTCCACTAATATTTCTCAAATCTGTTGAAACATGCAATGCAAAACTCATATATCATCATGTTGTTCAACCTAAGAATACACATAACAATTGAATTCTAAGATAATATGATATGTGATGTTTATATAAAGTCTTTAGTCTACAAGATGTCAGTTACATCTTTCTATTATTAAAATTACAATGCTTGTTTTATGTAATTCCTGTACAAAATAATTGTAATTTAAGAAAAAAATTTAGAATGCTGCTGAATATTCTCAATTTCTGAAGCATTGTGCTTGATTTGAATGGTTTATGACAACTAGGAGCAATTTTTAGTTTAGTTTTATATTATAATTTTTAGTTTTGAAGTTTGATTTGATTATCCAAATACTCTAACATATGTTTATTTGCAGCTATATGTTTGTTTTGCCTGATAGAGGTATTGCATCTAATTTTCTTATTCTGAACTAATACATATGAGTACAGAAATTCCTACCGTTAATTTGTTTTGTAAAGTTCTGTGATGTTTCTGTAAAGTTTTAAGTCAAGAATTTTTTTTGTTATGAATTTAACTGGTGATTAATTTTGATAGATGAAGATTTATATATAAAATGTAGACCCATAACTCAGAAGATATTTTTTTGGAGTGATGAAGCTTTGTGAATTTTTTTTGATGGAGATTCATATGAAAATCCGAAGCTAAACACTCAAATATTTCAATCTGTGAACACTCTGAAGTCAATCTACTTAATATATCACCAATTGAACATTTCTGATTTCTGATTTGAGGTGTGTCCTGAATTCTAAATTTTCTGACATTTTTGTTGCTGTCAGTAATATGTCTGAATTCTGAATTACTGATTGACTTGTGGGCTTAATTCTAAATTTGTTGTTAATTAATTAGCTCTGCAATAATGTGTTTGACTCCTCTATTTCTGATTGACTTGTGGTCTGTTCTCTGAATTTCTACAGTAATGTGTCAGCAACTCTACATTCTGGTTATCTAATTTGAGTTGTGGTGTGCTGCATTAGAAGGGTCCTCAGAGTGACTTTAACTTGTTGTTTAATTTTTACAGTTCAATCTCATTCGACAGAAATGTAGATCAATATTCAGAAGATTTGAGTTAAGTTTTGTGATTTATTCTGATGAAGATTCATATCAAGAAGGTTCAAAGAATTCTTTTTCTCCCTCTAAATCCTTTCTGAGCCGTTGTTCTTTTATTTGGGCCTTTAAATTGACTACAATGTTAATTTGGGATTTCATTTGATGTAAATTTTGTATTCGGGCTCAATCTGGGCTATTTGATTGGGTCAGGTTGTGTTGAGCCCTTTGAAAATGGGCTTCCAAACCTGTTTGTGTTTGTTCATTTATGTATTTTTAATTTTTATTTGTCAAATAATATTAGCTGTTGGATCTAGATCTGTTGGTTAAAAAATTTGACAGATTGGAGGTCCAAAAATCTGTCGATAGTGCACTAGACAGTCCCTTATTTTTATATGATGCGCTATTAAGAATATTAGTTATACTTAGCAAAGTAGTCTGATAATTGCATATAGAGACGTGCAGGGCCTCCAATATAGGACAATAGATCATGGAACACAAGCCATGTAGGAGATGGAAACAATCGATGGATTCTATCCGACCCAAGCCTCGATCAATTTGATCTCGTTCCGAGAAAAAAAAAAGCTCAAGCAAGACTTGTTTTAGATCCGCACATCAGAACATTCCATGAACGCTTTGGAAAAACCAAACCGACGAGGTAGACGATAAAAGGCTTTTTTTTTCCAATGGTACAACAGCTATTAGGACTTGAGGAATAAATTGAAAAGGCGTTGCCTCCTACCTTCCTTCACTCCTCCTGCCTCTCTTAGCTTTAGGAATACATTTATGTGTTCGTATGATAGCAGAGCCGATCATCCCCACCAAATCTAGTTGAATATTTTTCGATCTCTAAAAATTTATCGAGGGCTTTTGATCCACTTAATCTCCTCTTTCCTTTTTTTTCCCAAAGTTGGAGCGAATCTGTAATACTTGGGACTAAAAAGAACAGGGAAAAATCGTCGGTCGGTCATCATTGACAACAGTTAAATGGAGATTAAATCCAACAAATTAAAGCCAAATTGAAAGAGAAAATACAGGGGAAAGCAGGGGCGAATCCAACGTGGGTGCAGGGGGTACCCCTGGAGTACCCCTTTCGATTTTTTCACCATGAATGATAAACTAAAGGTCCCTAGATGGCTAGAGGTTGAAGAAACTGTGTAATTGAGCGCCCCCCCTAATTTTTTGTTCTTGGATCCGTCCCTGGGGGAAAGGATGAGTAAGGAGTGGAGAATCGATTTTTTCAATTAACTAGAAAAAATGCCTGTGCGTTGCAACGGGTAATGCTATTTTAATTTTATTGTTGTTATACGGTTTAGCTAGGGTAAAATTCACTATGGGAATTCGCTTAGATATTTTTTTCGAAAATCATAAGCTGCAAGAGTCCGTATTTCATCTCAAGTTAGTTAGCATGCAGGTTTTTTTATAATGGCATGGTTCTAATTTTCCCTTTTTTTAATGATATTTCTTATACGACTCTTTTTTATTTCCAAAAGCAAATGAGCTTAAAATACAACTTAAACACGGATCTGTATTTCTAAAAGCGAACGAACTTAAAAACCTACTCAAACACGGATGACATACCAAAATATTGACAAAAACATCTTCAATTTTTATAATAGTAGAGATTAGAGGAGAAAACGTACGAGGAAACAGATCGATGTGGCGGTAGCCTTAGGGTTTAGCTCGGGCGGTGCAGCGGTGGATGTGATGTGGCGGCAGCCTTAAGGTTCAGCTCGGGCGGTGCAGCGGTGGATGGAGGCGCGCGATAGCGGAACGGATACCGGATCGGATTGGACACCTATTGAGACGTTTTTTTTCCCTTTTTTTAACTAGAAAGACTGCCTGTGCGTTGCAACGGGTAAAGACGTTTTTTCAATGATATATTAAGAGCTGAGCAATAAATTGAAATATTGGGATCACTATACATTATAATTGAAAAAGGTAACAAAAATTCTAATATTGGGATCGCTATAGATTATAATTGAACAAGTTAATGAAAATTTTTCATGGGTTTTGGACCGAAAGCCTTCCTTCCTTTTTAAACCTAGGCCAGTCCGCCACCTTCCTCCATTTGGCCTGCTGCCTTCGACCCATCAAATCCCTCCCTCCATTTGGCCTGCTTCATTCGACCCATAAAAGTTCGGCCGAATCTTTCTCTATCACCAAAAATTGGTTGAGGGCTTTTATCCACTCGATCTCCTATTTCCCTTTTTTTCCAAACTCAGAGCGTAAAACTCTGGATAAAAACGATAAGGGAATATCGCCATCATCATCGACAACTGTTAGATTAAATCCGACCAAATAAAGTCGGAAAAATCATGGAGAAAATGATAAGGGAGGAGTGGGAATCGATTTTTTTCAATCAAATTAGAGTAGAAAACACACGATCGATATGGCGTCGGCGCGGCGCCAGGGTTCAACTCAAGAGACGTGCAGCGAATAGATTGGATTAGAAAACCGGATGAGGAAAACCAAAAACGCACGGAGAAAAAACCGGTGACAATGAATAAAACAAAAGGTCCATGAGGCGCGGTGGACAGATCGGATGTAAAAAACCGGAAAAAAAAACCAATAGCGCGTGCGCACAAAAAAAACTCTTCCGCGTGAAAGAAAAAGTCGGACAAATACAGTGGCAAGAAATCCAAACGGACTTTTTTTTTGTTTTGTTTACTGGCGAGACTTTTTCTTTTCCTTTTTTTTATGGAGTCGGTCGATTTGTTTTTCCTTTTTTTTTTACTGACAGCAGAAGCTTTTTTTTATCGCTTCATGAGTCGGACATTTTTTTTCTTTCTTTTACCTTTTTAGTCGGACTTTTTTTCCTTTTTTACTCGGGCTTTTTTTTCCTTTTTTTACTCGGACTTTTTTTTTCTTTTTTTTACCGACTATGGAAATTTCTCGTACTTTTTAAGTAGAGATAGAGATTAAAACAGAAATATAAAATTAAAATCGATTTAAACACGGATGCCATATCAAAATATCGGTAAAAACATTTTTAATTTTTATAATAGTAGAGACGTACGTGAACTTTTGTTTGTTTAAGGGAGTTGGACTTTTTTAGAGTCGGATTTTTTTTAAGACAGAAGGTTTTTCTCGCTTTTTTTTTCCGTTTTCTACGGTTTTCTCGCTTTTTTTTTTCCTACGGACAAAGGAAACATATCTCTTATTTTTTAAGTAGTAGAGATAGTGTTAACAACCAAATTTCGTAATCCAAGTATCGGAGATGGAGATAAAACCGAAGCGGAATCTAAGATAGAAATCGTTCCGGAAATAGAGCAAGGATCGGCTAAAATCCGAATCGGCCGCGACCGAGATCGGCAGAGTTCGAGTCGGACAAGGTTAGTTGATTGAGCTGATTCCGACAATATGACTCGATACACGACATCGAGTTAGATTATGGTGCTTCACATGGATTGCCATGCACGGATTGAGTCCTGAGAAGGCAATTGTATCTATTTATTAGGATATTTTACGTAATTTCCTTAAAGATAAGTTTAGGCAAAAGTCTGCCGCAAAGACTTATGGTATCTTAAAGTTTGTTAGAGATAAGAGTCGTGTCCGACATGGACATATTTTGTAATCTCGAGTATAAATAGACCCCGAGCCCCATGTAATCAACTAACACACGTTTAATACAATCTCGGCGCATCGCCACCCTTTACTTTTGTTTTGTTTTGACGAGTTCTTGCTTTCGGGTTGAGCTGCATCGATTTCGATCTTTAACTAGAGGTAAAACTTGTTATGGCGGCTTGCGTTCTCGGGATTAGTGCTTCCATCTTTATGACACTCTAATCTTGTTTATGTAATTCGTCGAGTTATCATATATCTTATATAATCTTTGACAATATTACTATCTAACCTTCAATCGGCTAACATCTATCACTGGAAGGCAGCCGATTAGGTTAAATATCAACATTGGTTTAGATTATATAGGGTATCTACCACCTTATGAAACATCCAACGGCTTGATTGTCTAGATATTGTTCTTCTTTTCATACTTATAGCTGCATCAGTTGAGTTTGACCTTATAAGTCGTGATTAGAACCATAATCTCTAGCCTGTCTTTGGTTGCTGATTAGGGTAGTATCGGGGTTTCAGCCGATCTTACCTGATTTAGCTTTATGTTTTATGTGCTTAATTGATATGCTAGATCTGCCCTTTATATTAAGATCTTGTTACATTTAGGTATATTAGGCTTCCTATTTGATATATTTTGCTTGCTTTAATATCTTAATATTGAGTGGTATCGGAGTATTAGCCGATACATGCTAGATCTATCTGATCGGCTATGTTATGAATGCTTATAATCTTCTTGTCAATATATATTTTGACCTAAGTGATTTATACTGTCTCGGCATGGCGACCGATCTACCCAATCACTTGATTTAAGTATATATCGACATAAGGATTATATACCATTAATACCTACAGCCGATCGAATATATTTAGTTCTTTCTTACCTATTTATGACTGTCGATCGATTCAAATATAACATCGGCTCAAAGATAAATGATATGTCATTGGCAGCTGGCCGATCGGCTATCATTTATGTATTTGACCATGGTTTCTTTGTCTTTATTTCTTGTTGATTGCAGGATCAAATCAACTGGCACACTCACGAACCTAAAGGCAAGATTTTTGGACCTGCACTGAAGTTAAGCAGATCTTCTAGGCTTCGTGTTTTCGCATCAACAGATAGAGATTAAGCTATCACGTAATCGCTAACCCAAAAATAGCTCGATTTAAGCTGGAGCATAAAATAATATAAGATTTGAAAAGTTCAGGGACAAACAATACCTAATTAAACAAAAAGTTTACGGATACAAAATAATGTTCCATTTAACTTATCACACAGTACAACTCTATTCATTCCATATTAATCATCATATAACCAAAAATTAAAAATTCCATCATATAACCCTTAGAGTAAGGTCAATAAGAAAGCCCATTGCTGGTTACAATAGATGACCATGTCATCTATAGCAAACAATATAGCCATTGTACAATAGATTAACTGTACCATAGATATTTTATTATCTCTAGGGGACCCACCATCTTTCCCCATCTCTTCCTCTCACCTTTTCTAATCCGGTCCTCCCGACTACGGTGAAGCACGTGGACGACGGTGGCACACACTGGCACCCATGGCGGCTGGGGCGGACAAGGACGCCAGCTGCGGCGAAAGAGGGCGACGGCGACACGACGGTGGCGGCTGCACTGGACAAAGGCGGCGCCGGCAGACAGACGTGACGAACGCAATGGATGAGCTGTGGAGGAAAAACACAACGATCGTGGTGGACCAAGGGCAAAGGCGGTGGCCAACGCGAGCGAGGGCGGCGGCCAAGCCGGACATGGGTTGCGCGATGGATGTGGTCGCAGCCGAGGCGGACGCAGGCAACGAGCGCGGAGGATGAGGCGGATGGTCCGGCGACCGCAACGGACTAGGCGGCGGCAGATGCAGTCGACATCGATGGGCGCGGTCAATGGTGACAGTGACAACAGCGGCGACGGACGCGGTCGATGGCAACAGCAACGATGGTGATGGCGGTTGCGGCGGACGCGGACGAGGACGGCAGCGGACGCAGATGAGGGCGGCTGCGGCGGACGCGAAAAAGGGCGGTGGCGGCTGACGCGAACGATGACGACGGTGACGGTCACGATGCACGTAGTCGACGACGACGGCAGCCATGGCGGACGAGGACATCAACGGCAGCAATCCGGTGGAGCGCGATGCTCGTGTACATGGCAACGGCGGCTTGCGCGGTGCACTCCCATCGTTCCTGTTGGGTCTGCGTCTTGGGCAGAGAGTTTAGTCGGTCGACTAAATTAGTCGCCCTCTCGTTCTCTCTCTTCCCCTCCTCATTAAAAATTCCTACGAAGACCATCTACCACCTATTATTATACCTGCTCGTGTAACATGTAGTATTATTCATTATACATATAAATTGAGTTTGCACGCATGCATGCATTTGGTGCACTTTTTTTTCCCACCACATACTCACATTAAATGAAATATAGGAAAATTAAGGCTTCTTTAATCTTGTGAAAAACTTATATGATGATTAATATGGAACAGAGGGAGTACTAAGGTTAACTAAAATTCCGTTCATCAAACCTAACCAAAATTGAAAATTAGGTCGAACAGGATCAGAGTCCAAACCGTGCTAGAGATTCCATACCAATGTTATTTCCATTTGTCAAAACTGGGAAAAGCGTGGTGGACTTGCGGGAGAGAGCTGGACGAGCATAAATACAGGATTTCTCCGGTATCTACCCGTGCGCTGCCGGCCAGTGGCGAAGCCAGCGCAAAATAGAGGGAGTGCACCACTATTTTTAGCGGTATACTTGTTTCGTTTTTGGAAAAAATCAACTTCTGGCTACGAATTTAGATATAGGGTATGTCTAGCTTAGAGGCTAAAACTTTGTTTTGTATGGGACGGAGGGTGTATGTTTTATTATATATACAACATAGAACGCTATAACAATACCAGTACAATTATTTTCGATAGTTTCACGTAAGCAAGAAGAGTGATGTAGGAAATAAAATTCTAGCGATGAAAGTGCTTACCAAAACGGGAAACCCAAATGATAATATTGCTTAGTATGTTCAGTGGCAAAAAAAAAAGATTTGATGAGGTAATTAAAGTATAAGCTTGATGAGGTTGGCTGCTGGGCATCACGCATGGCCCCCTGTGATTTGATTAACAGCTTATAAGCCTACGGTGGTGGTGACATTTGTTATGGCTACGTCTGTGAGCATATACGGTTGTGTTGGCTACTTGCTTGTTATCTTGCTTGGCTGATTGTTTTGTCAAGGAGTACACACTGTTCTTCCGAGGGGAGTGCACCTATGGTGGATATGGGATAATTACATGTTAAAAGTTTTTCTGAACCGGTGCCAAGGAACCCCCTCCATCAATGCAGCTTCGCCCCTGCTGCCGGCCTTGCCAAGGCCCCAAGCCCCCAACCCCTACAGGGTGTCGTGTCAGCCACCCCCGCGGCCCCGCCCAGGTGGCCCCCGTTCCAGATTCCGCATCGCTCCCTTCGATCCGCGGCATCCTCCGCTCCCCTCGTCCAAGTCGCCTTCTTCCTTATCCAATCCCCTACCTGCGCACTCTCCAGACTCGCCCAGTAAACAAAAACAAGTGGGTCCCACATCCGAGCCGAAGGAACGGAATCCCCCTCCGAATATTCACCACCACCACCCTCCTTTTACTTATTTCCGCCCGTCCCAATCCAGCCACCCGCTCGCCCGTCCGTTCGATTCGACGACACCTTCATTTTTATTTTCTTCCTTGTGTAATAAGAAGACGACTAGTGGTAACAAAAAGATTCGCTCCCTACGCGACGCCCCGACCCCGATTCCCTTCGCTTCCTACTCCTTCCTCTTCCTTGTTCCTTCCTTCCTTCCTCACCCCACGAACGCGCACACCAACCTTTCCCATCCCTAGCTGCTGCCCTTCCATCGGATCCACGGATCGAGACCTGGCACGGCGGCGGAGGACGGGCCGGCGGAGATGGAGGTGGACCACGCGGACCGCGACGGCGCGCGGCGCCGGTGCCGCGAGTACCTGCTCGCGCTCGAGGAGGAGCGCCGCAAGATCCAGGTGTTCCAGCGGGAGCTCCCTCTCTGCTTCGACCTCGTCACCCAGAGTACGCGCGCGCCTCGCTCGCCACGCATTCTTCGCTCGATCGCTGCGCGTTCGTGCGCGTGAGTGCTAATTGTGATTGTGGTGCAGCTATCGAGGGGATGAGGAGCCAGATGGACGCCGCCGGCAGCGAGGAGACGGTCAGCGACCAGGGCCCGCCGCCGGTGCTCGAGGAGTTCATCCCGCTCAAGCCCAGCCTCTCGCTGTCCTCCTCCGAGGAGGAGAGCACCCACGCCGACGCCGCCAAGTCAGGCAAGAAGGAGGAGGCCGAGACGTCGGAGAGGCATTCGTCGCCGCCGCCGCCGCCGCCGGAGGCCAAGAAGGTGACGCCGGATTGGCTCCAGTCCGTGCAGCTCTGGAGCCAAGAAGAACCCCAGCAGCCATCGTCTCCTAGCCCAACTCCTACCAAGGTAATTAATTAATAGGTTAATTTATCAGCAGATGAAAATGTTTTCTTGCTAGTTTGCACTACTCTTGATCTACTTTTAGCTAATGCGTCGATCTCTGATGAACTCTGCCAGGATTTACCGTGCAAGCCGGTGGCGCTGAACGCCAGGAAGGCCGGCGGAGCGTTCCAGCCGTTCGAGAAGGAGAAGCGCGCCGAGCTGCCGGCGTCGTCGACCACGGCCGCGGCGAGCTCGACCGTGGTCGGAGACAGCGGCGACAAGCCCACCGATGATGACACGGAGAAACACATGGAGACGGACAAGGACAACGACAAGGACGCCAAGGACAAGGACAAGGAAGGCCAGTCGCAGCCTCACCGGAAGCCTCGCCGGTGCTGGGCGCCGGAGCTCCACCGCCGCTTCCTGCAAGCGCTGCAGCAGCTGGGCGGGTCCCATGGTTAGTGCCATTTTTTCTCAGTGACAGCTCGACCGGACAAACCAAATTACATTATCCTATATCAACAAACAGTACTGATTAATCTCGCTTGTACTAGTTAATTACGAGCTAATTAGTCCCGTGCTTATGCAGTAGCGACGCCCAAGCAGATCCGGGAGCTGATGAAGGTGGATGGCCTCACCAACGACGAGGTCAAGAGCCATTTGCAGGTCAGCAATGGCGGACACTACTTTGCCCTAATTTAACTCTTAACACACGCGGATAACCTGTTTACTCCTCTCGATCATGTCCTTAATTTGTGTTTCGCTTGGGGTTCACAGAAGTATCGTCTACACACGAGGAGGCCGAGCTCGACGGGGCAGAGCAGCGCCGCAGCCGGCGTCCCCGCCCCGCCTGCGCCGCAGTTCGTCGTCGTCGGGAGCATCTGGGTACCCCCGCCGGAATACGCTGCCGCGGCCGCCGCACAGCAGCACGTGCAGCTTGCCGCCGCCGGCAATAATGCGTCCGGGAGCGCCAACCCCGTGTACGCTCCGGTGGCGATGCTGCCGGCAGGCTTGCAGCCGCATTCGCATCGGAAGCAGCACCAGCAGCAGCAGCAAGGACAGAGACATTCCGGGTCGGAAGGCCGGCGGAGCGGGGACGCCGGCGATGGCAGCTCGTCCTCCCCGGCCGTCTCGTCGTCGTCGCAGACCACCTCCGCTTGATTAGTGTAGATTCGTCGATTACATCATTATATGTACGTAGTACGAGAGTGCATCACATCAAAGTGCAGCTTGATTTTGGAGCTAGCTAGCTTAAATTAAGGGTTAATTACTGATTGCTTCGTGATCGCACACACCACATTTGCTGTTTTGTTTGTAAAAAAGATAATAAAATACATAAATATTAAGGAAACTCCATAGACATTATTCTCCCTTTTTTTTCTCACTTTAGCGTGCTAATTGATCAACAAAACCAACTGTATGTTACTCCTTTTGCACAGCAAGATAATAAGGTTGTGTTTAAATTAACTTTTTTTCTCGAACTTCCAATTTTTCTGTCACATTAAATGTTTGGACAAATACATAGAGCTTTAAATGTGGAAGAAAAAAGTTTAGATTCCAACTTTTTTCTCAAAATTCCAACTTTTCCGTCACATGTAATGTTTGGACACATACATAGAACATTAAATATGGAAGAAAAAAAACCAATTATACAGTTTGCATGTAAATTACGAGACGAATCTTTTAAGTCTAATTACGTCATGATTAGCTATAAATGCTACGGTAACCCACATTTGCCAATAACGGATTAATTAGACTCAAAAGATTCGTCTCGCAGATTACAGTCCAAATCTATAATTTGTTTTGTTATTAGTCTACGTTTAATACTTCAAATATGTGTCTGTATACATCAAAAAGTTTTAGCAATGAACTAAACACGGCCTAAAATACATTTTCTCGTTGCTGCTTAATTTGTGGGTGATAAAACCAACTGTATGTTACTCGTTTTGCACAACAAGAACCTCAGAAAGTTCACGAAAATAAATTACCTCTACAAATAACTACGATGACCCCCACACGCTTTAAGATGATTTGCCATGCATCCAATTGGAACAGTAGGGCTAAAACGGACCACAATAAATATTTTATTTGCCATTAAATCAAAACGGTATCAGATTTTTTCCACTGGTTAAGTACCTCAAAACATTCACAACTACACATCCTATACTACAAATTTGAACATTATTATATATACTCTGATTAAACTTATTATATCTTATACTAGATTAATTTATTTTAAAACGGAGTGGGTACTTTATCATTGTATCTTCATTCTGTGTAAAGGCAAATACCACGAAACAATTATATGTATACACATCTTGTTTAAGAACATAACCATAGAAATATTTATTTTAAAACAGAGACAGTCTACATGCTTATTAAAGTTACTTAAAAAAATATAACGATGTCAAAATGTTTTCGTGATAATCTACCAATATCATTTTTATATGCCACATTCTTTTGTTTTTTGCAGGTACCAAAAATATTACATTTTGAATTTGGCCATAATACTACACGTATCATAAAATTCATGATAAAAAACAATCGTCTACTTTGAAACGGATTGAGCACAAGACATCAAGCATCGTTGGAGAAGCCAGTCACAGCCATTGGGGCATTGGGGGTGGAGTGATGGTAGCACGCAGACTTGTGGCTTTGCGTACATACAGCATCCTAGTTACTCCCTCCCTCCGTCCCCAAAAAAAAAAAAAAGACAAATCATGTGTTTCCGTGTCCAACTTTAACTGTCTGTCTTATATGAAATTTTTTTATAATTCGTATTTTTATTATTGTTAGATGATAAAACATGATTAATACTTTGTGCGTGACTTGTCTTTTTAATTTTTTTTATATTTTTTTAAAACAAGACGGACGGTCAAACGTTAGACACGAAAACCAGGGTTTGCCTTTTTATTATTATTTTTTTTACGGAGGGAGTAGGTGGATAGAGCATCACCCTGGGATTCTTTTTTCTCCCTCTGGTGGAATGTTCCCTCGGCGCCTCGAATATCCCGTACCGATACGGGGAGGAAAGGGAATCAAGCTAGGTATCTTGGGTGCAGCCAACCTTTTAGACTTTGGAGTTGTTGCTGCCAGTGCCAGCCAAGCCAACGGACGGATCGACGATCCCTCTCCCCGTCCGCTTGGTCCCTTTCGTCTCCGGGGGCCAGGGCAACACCTCCACTTTCGATATACACCCTTGGCTTTTCGGCTTTTCGCGGCGTCGAGGGGCCGTTTTTCATTTTTGGCTGCGTTGGATTGTGTTCTTCGATTTCGGGGACGTGCGCAACACTGGATCGTTACTGTACCACCGAATGGCGCTTTCGAATCCGTACGACTACTATTGTTGGAGCATTAAATGACGAGAAAACCTCTCAACGCGAAGCCGAATCTGCCACGGCTGTTTGTTTAAACCTATCTTACCGTAAAATCACGTCCCACTAAACCCTAAAACTTAACTCACTTCATGGCCCATTAATAATTATTACATCTTAAATAACATACAAACATGCTATATTATTCTATTTGTCGGAATGAAATCAGAACCATTCCGGAGCAAGGAGCTGGATGCTCTGAGATGTCTTTCAGCCGGTGGGTTGATCTGATGTGGAAGTCAAAGAGGACATCAGCATACATTGCTTGTGACTCCTTCCCTTTTCTTGATCATGACATGTTTACAACATCCAGCAGGCAGAAAACAAAGATTATACTGGTTCAGGCCCCTTGATAGGGAATAGCCCTACTCCAGTTGATATGGGATTATATGATGGAAACCACAGATTACAAAGGGAAAGCGGAACTCGATGATACCGCCGAGATCGTAATCGAGAAGGTCCGATTAGATCTCCCGGCGACTTGGCTCCTGTAGGCTTCAACTCCGTAGGCTGTGGTGGATGTGTTGGCTATGAGATTCGATGCCTTAGGTCCTCACGGGGTCCCTTTTATATCGCAGGTCAACTGGTCTCCAAGTAGGACTCGAAGACATCGGACTCGGCACGATACAATGACGACCCAGTCTTGTCCAAGTAGGACTCTTTCCATCTGTGAACTCCATGGCGAATTTCCTTAACGTGTACCGAAGACGTCCATATACGCGCAAGTATACCATATCGATATGTGACGTATATCGAAGGGTAGAGGGTATACCTTACCCGTAACCCTGACAGTAGCCCCCGACTTCTGCTTAAATGAACTCATGTAACCGATCGTGACTTCTGATGTCGAGGTTGTTGTCATTCTCGATGTGAGGACCGAGAGACGAGGAGTAATCGACAACGCCCAGTGAAGCTCAACGGTCATGAGTGAATTTAAATTGAAGTTTGAAAAACTGCCGCGCGTAACGGACCCAGAAATTTCCGGCGGCTATCTCTCTCCTTTCCTTGGAATTCGCACCGTCGGAAGTGCGACTATTTAAGGGAGTTTTGGGGATCCATTTCGAAGTCCGCCTGTTGTGAAAAGACTCTCCAGCCTCCAAGCGTTCCTCGTCTTCTCCGCTCCTGCAAGAAGCCTAGCTAGTTCATCTTGGTCCCTTCTCCGGTGGTCTCCGGTGGCAATGGATCTCGACAAGTCCACCTCTACCAGTGCGTCGCTGAAGAAACTGCAGGAGGATGGCGCCCTTCCCGGTCGCGGGACCATGGAGAGAGAAGCAGGAGGTACTGAACCCCAGCCTGTCCTGGGTCGCATGGTTGTGATCGAGGACTTTATTCTCTGTGGTTTTCTTCCTCCGCCTTCTGAATTTCTTCTCTTGGTCTTGAATTTCTACGGCCTTTCCTTGCTCCATTTGAACCCCAACTCCATCGCCTTCCTCAGTATCTTTTCGCATCTTTGTGAGGCCTACATTGGGGTAGAGCCGTTTCTTGACCTCTTCCGCTTTTACTATGAGTTGCGCTGGATGGAACCTAAAAAGGTGTCCGGATGTGTCGGTTTCTGACTTCGGGATGGCCTGAAGTCATGATACATCCCCTTCTAGTGCCCCTCACCTCGCAGCAAGTGGCGAGGGAGGTGGTTCTATCTTCAGATAGAAAATTCGGATCCGGTCTTCATTGTTCCTATGGAGCAACCAGACAAGATTTCATCTTGGACCGCCAAACCCGCCTTTGACCCCGTCCCTCCAATCTTTCATCGATATCATTGATGACCTCCGAGTGCGGGGGTTGTCGGGGTATGAAGTCGCTGCCAACTTCATTGGTAGGCGGATCCAGCCGCTCCAGGCTCGATCCCACCCAGCCTTTGACTATTCTGGGCCAGAGGACGCGACCCGGGTTTCTCCTCGGGGTATTTTTCTTGTATTTGAATTGACTTCCTTGTGTGTGTGTTCCTCCTAACTTATCGAATTATGGTTCTCGATCTACAGGTTTGAGCAGTGAAGCCGTGGAGCGCCACGTCGGCCAACTGATGATCAGCGGCCCGACAACGGCGAGCAACGTCCATGTCCCCCTTTGCGAGAAAGGGGCAGACGAACGCGAAGCTGCCATCAACGTAAGTGTACTCAGCAGCCCTTTTGCATTTTTCTTCCGGGATCGCATTGCGACTTCATGAAGCGTAGGCTCTCCCTCTGACTGATATCATCGGGCCGCTCGTGAATCATCAGGCGGCGGCGTCGCTGAAGGAGGATGTCGCCAAGGAGGCGTCCGATGTTGCTGCCGCTACTGCCACAACGAGTAGCGAAGCGTCCCAAAAAGGGGGAGGAAATTCTCCTCCGTGATCAGAAATAGGCGGAAGACACCCACCCCTCGGTAAGCTCTCCTGTTCCTTCATCACGTAGTCGGAAAACTTCCACCTCACATCATACCCGTCATACTCCAGGCTTCGGACGCGTCTCCCCCGCCACCGCGACGGCAGCGGCTTGTGACGCTTGGCGAGAAGTAAGTGGATGAATTTGAGGTTTCGTCACTTCGTCGAACTCTTGCAGCCAGTCTCAGCTGCAGCTTTTCACAGGGCGGCACGGGCGAAGGCGGCGCAAGACGGGTCTGGGGGGACCTCCAACGCGTCTCCTGCTGTGGCCTCGACGGATGTTGTGGTCGTGCCCAGGAGCCGCGAGGCGACACCTAGCGGCCCAGACAGCGATCTCGCGGCTGGTCGGGGTCCGCCGGCTGCCGTCCTCACCTGGGGAGAGCTCCAGGTCGAGATGGGGCGTCTCCTCGAGGCCGGTTCTCGCGGCATTAGCCGCGAGATCGCGGAGGTGAGGGTGGCGGCGGCATCGTCGGCGAATGAGCGCGCCGACCAGCTGGCGCGCGATTTGGCGGAGGTTCGCGAGGACCTCCAGAAGATGAGGGAGCTGGTGGCCGGCAATGAGCGACAACGGCAAGGGCTCGAGCATCGTATGTCGGAGCTTGAGAACCACTTGTCGGAGATCCGTGGCTCGCTGTGGG